AATCGTTCAGGCGATGGAGTTCGGCCAGCATCAAGAGGCCACCAAAGCCTAAAGCCAAGACCCTGAGCCTGTCGTCTCCTGATGGAGACCCTGAGGACCTGTGGCTGCCAGAGGGAGACAAGAGGAAGCTGCATCCCATCGTTGACTCTGTCTTTGGACAGGTATGGCCGGTGGTCCTTCTGTGCTAAAGCTGCATCCTCACACTGACCCAAGTCCCCCTTCAGCAATGCAATGTTTTCAGTTGATGTAAATCTGAATGCAGCGTGTCTAAAAATACCCTCCTGGTGCTCTGGGTGGACAGCTGTAGCAGTAATCTGGCTGGGTCGGACCTGGTAAGAACGTATAAAGTGCAAATCAAGTTCAGCGTGGCGCACGTCTGAACCGCTGCGGTCACATTAGTGAGCAGATAAGCACCGTAATGGTGGATTAATTTAGCTTCTGGTGAGCTTTTCTGAGGAATTCAACAGATCAGGTTTCAGATAAATAAGTAAATAAGTAACGTCCCTCTCTCCTTCATGGTTTATCACTGTGATGGATGTCAGCTGTATCTGGTAAACAGGACATCATTTGGGATCAGTGGATGAGAGTAAACAGGTTTCAGCTGAATTTATGTGCTCATTTCAGTTGTTTGGAAAAACTAAATTTATATTGAGGAGAGCTCAGAGAGGAGCTGCTTCTCCTCCACATAGAAAAGGGTCAGTTGAGGCAGCAGTTGAGTCAGCGGCATCCCAGAAACCAGTGGCCCTTTGAGGGTTTGGTTCCCTCTGTTTTCTCCTCTCGCCTGCTCCTCATTCATCAGTCATCACCTGACTCTCATGTATTCATCAGTTTCTTTGTGATTAACCACTTCATGGTTTGCTTGCTGGACTAACTTCCCTCTTTTGATGTGCTTAAGCCAGACTTTATTTAGCATATTTCAGCATTTTTAAACCACCAAACAGTTCCTGAGCGCAGCCACAGCCGCAGTCGTCTGCTCCCCACGGGGATGGATCAAATGCAGAGATTTTATTCCATGTGTGATGATGACTGTGGGACTTGACTTTTGCTTTCACACTTGCATTATTGTGTGTGTGAGAACCTTGTGTGACTGGCTCTCTGCCCTTTGACTTGAGTTGTTCTTCTGGGACTCAATTTTTTTTAGAGATTTCATCTATTTGGGTTTTGATTCTCCGGTTTTGCTGTTTTTTGTTATAATCCGATGTATTTTCTTTAAAATAAACTGGATTAAAACCCTCAGCTGGCCTCGTGCCTCCCTTGTCCTCCATTTGGGTTGAGTCGGTGCTGAAAGCATGGGCCTGTCACTCTTCTGTTGTTTTCCTTATGTGAAAAAAATATTTAAATGACTTGAGTGAGGTTTGGATTGTAAAATATGAAAAAAGGGGTAAATAAGAATGAAATATATCAGTTGATTTATTGAGATCGATGAGTAAGAGATGGCAGCAGTAGGGCAGGAGGTTGAACGGGTTGTCCAGTGTAGCGTCATGAATGTCCTGTTTTTGACCTAAAGGTCATGATCTGCTGTGTCTGCTCGAGCAGAGTCTCTGACAGCCTAATCTACATGAGATAGTGGCCAAGGTCTTTCATGCACTCTGCTCATCTGAACTGCTTCACCTCTGTTACAGCTCAAGACGAAGAACTCTCTTGATAAATACATAATCAACAACTCTGTTATTACCAATAATAATGTGAGCCCAACGTTCAATCAATCTGTGAAATGACAATGTTATTACTTGATATTATAATCATGTGATCAGTAGTATTTTACAAGTTATTATAATCCTGGACATTTGCACTAGACACTAATGACATGTAATGCTAAAGTCACACGACACATTTCCTTTTGTCTGATCCAATCAGAACCGTCGTTTCTGATGCGAGGCGTGGTTTTCTGTGGTGTTTGTATAAAACGTCTTTTTCATGTCAAATTCTGATTCGCCAGTAAACCAAAATATGACAATTATAAAAACTATCCCACGCCACCTTTTCTTTAGTTCAAGTGTTCTAGAGAAGTCTCGGACCGGCCATCCGGACTTCCTCTTCAGCCAAAAGAACCTCGACAAGCTGGATAAAATCTGTTGCAAGTTACACCTGACCGCAACGGTTCCTTCAGAATAAAAGCTGAACCTCACGACCCCTTCAGGGTCTCGCTGACACCAATGGTAACCTGTCGTGACCTGGAAGCATTCCAAGACTAGTTTGGTTGGCACCGCTGCTTTTCTACCGGCTTCGGTACCAAGGAGGGTCCAAGAGGACCTCAACATTCTGGATCTAAACGGAGGCTTCCCCTGGGGTACGTAGACCGACAGATGGCGTTTCATGTGTGTTATAAACCTCCTACTAAAGTTTAGAGCGAAACATTCACTCCCACTCAGAACTAACTGCTTCTCCGGATCCGCTGGTTCTGAATAACATTCCACACACACACCATCATCATTCATCACGACTCACTCCACCTTAGTCCATCAGTACACAGAGTGTTAAAGTTAGTCTTGTTTAAATTGTGTAGAAATAAATTTCTTAACTATTATAAACCTGACTCTCTCTTTCCTCGGAGTTAATACGAAGTGTCGCTTAATCCCTGCAATAAAAAGTTCTGATCTTCTGGTTAAAATAGTCAAAAGATCCATCAGATTGATATTTCATATTTCTATGGAAGCTCACATTTTATGTTTCATGAGTAAGATGTAAACGACCCATTCTTTACACCAGTAATCAGAAGGTTGCAGGTTCGATCCCCGCTCAGGACACAGAAGGCTTCTGTTGTGTCCTTGGGCAAGACACTTATCCCATCTTGTCTGCTGGTGGTGGTCGGAGATACTGATAACGCCTGTAGTCGGCAGCCTCGCCTCTGCTGCCCAGATGTGTATAAGTTAGTGCTTAATTTGTCTTTTGACAAAACATTCATATAAATATTCTTGTTTTTGTTTTAGTCATTTGTTAGCTGGCTAGCTACATGTAACTATGTGCTGTTAGCTTGTTAGCTACACATAGCTACGTGCTGATTGCTGGCTAGCTACATGTAGCTATGTGCTGTAAAGCCGGGCGTACACTGTGCGACATTCACTTTTTTGAGCCGATTTTCCACTCGTGCGAGAATCCACAAGATCGGGGCGAGTTTTGCGCTGAGCGTCGTGTAGTGTACAGGGGGTTATGAGAGGCAATTAACACCACGCGACCAGCTACCGATCAGCAATCATGAGCTTGCACAGACTTCTGGAGTGTTTGATATTTTGCTCGTCCCTCGTGAGGGTATCGCACTGTTGAAGCGGCGCAGCGAGTGGCTGCAACCCAAAAAGTACCAGAACCGCTCACGGCGCATGCGCAATCCTGCATCAACACCGCTCGCCCGCTATTTCCCTAATAACACACGTTTTTCGTTTCTATTTCTACACGGTTTTTTTTACACACACAGTGAGAAGGATTGTCAAGAAAGCATGTTTGTCGTGTTCATGTCAAATTAAACCAATCACAAAACACAGATTTACTTTCTTTATTTTGTTTTCCTCATCCAACCCCCATAAATCCCTGTGTCCTCCTGCAGCACTCCCGAAGGACAACAGGCAAGACAAGAAAGTCTGACGTGTTGTGTAAAAACTTCTATTTTTAGCATATTTTTAGGTCCGACGTGTTGCCACCAGATGTACAGTGTGAGCACATGACTCGTGAGAGCTGCCCTGCGAGGAAGTCGTACAGTTTGAGCTGAAGCTGAGTGCTACAAGTGAAAAAGTCGCACAGTGTCCGCCCTAGGGGTTGCATGACTTAATTTTTTTTAAAGTCGACAGTCAAGTAATGAAAATCGAGTCGACTTCGACTAGTAGTTGATGATGTCATACACCTGAAGCGGCATGGGGGGGGGGGGGGGTCGGTAGGTTCGCTGGAGTTTTTTGACAATTAAAATTAGCGCCCACATTTTCGAAGTTAACACATCTCTTTTAACAACGGTAGTTTCTGCATCCTACTTCAGCCCTCTCCCCCCTCCCCCTGCGCAGCAGCCGCAAACTCACTGATGCGCCTGCAGCCTTTCCTGCTGCTCTAAACATTAAAATAATTATTTCATTTTCTGTTCCTCACTTCTGATTACCTTCAATAGTGTTTGTTTGTTGCAACCAGCAGGTACAAAAACAAACTTGTTTTTATTTGATAATTTTTCTGTCCTGCCTGTTTATTATCTTCCTGCATCTCCTCTCAATCCTAAAGAAAAACTGCTACCTGGGTTCATATATATTCACCTCATGAGTTACCTTTGAACTGCAGTTCTAAAAGATCTACCAACCACAAAAACAGCGGAGTGCCGCTGCTTGCCAGCCGACTACAACGGGACCGTTTTTGCTGCGGAGTTCGTGCCGGAGCGGAGCGGAGATAGTGGAATCTTGGGGGTGCGTCACCGGAGGAAAAAACAGGTGAAGAGCCTCGCTCCGCAGCAGCAAAACGCATCAGGCACAAATAACAGACAGAAAACATTAAAGGAAATGAGCCAACATGAACGATCGCGTGTTTAATTTGTTTTTGAGGTGGTGACACCTGATTTGGCAGTGCTCAGGACGCAGATGTCTGGAGCGTGTCAACGATCAGAGCTTTGCATGCGTAAACTGGTTAAGATTAGGATGGGGGTGAGGGGAAGGTTTGGTTAAATGTCTGTTTTACTGCTGGTGTCAGTACCAACGCTCTGGCACAGCACGTCGCCTCCGCCTCCCGACGCGCAGGGGCTCATCACCTGCTGTCTTTTCCGAGGACTGCATCTTGTCAGTCATTATCACGTGACGGCGACTAGTCGATGACAGGCATAAAAAGTCACTACAGAGCCGTGAAGTCGACTAGTCGACTAGTTCATACAACCCCTAGTCCGCCCAGCTTTAGCTGACTGGTTACACATAGCTACGTGTTGGTTGCTGGCTAGCTACACATAGCTATGTGCTGTTAGCTACCTAGCTACACATAGCTACATGCTGTTAGCTGGCTGGCTACATGTAGCTACATGGTGTTAGCTGGCTGGCAACACGTAGCTACGTGCTGTTAGCTGGCTGGCTACATGTAGCTACGTGCTGTTAGCTGGCTGGCAACACGTAGCTATGTGCTGGGAGGACAGCGTGTGTTCAACATATCAGGCAAATTTCTGCATCACAAATTGTGACAAAGCTGTGACAAATAAACTATAATAGCT